TCTTGTAAACGTTAAATTTACCTCATCGACAAGTGCTTCTTCACGTTTAAACATGTTATATATAGATTCTCCAGTAACTTTACCAAAGATTGTATGTTTATTCTGCAATTCTGGTGTAGAACTAAAAATAAAGAAGAATTGGGAACTATTGTCATCTTTTCCAGCATAAGCCATAGCAATTAAAACTCATGGACGAAAACATAATCTTGTATAAAATTTGTCCTAAAACACATATATCCAATAATTATTTTTCAATAAAAAAGCAATTCATTTTATTTTTAAATATAGTCTCACCTTAAATGGTTCTCCATATATTTTACCACCTTCTCCTGTATCTGTGGGATCACCACCTTGTGTTATGAATTCTTTGATAATTCCATGAAATGTAGTGTCATCTCAATAACCGTCCATACATAATTGTATGAAATTTCTACATGTCTTTGGAGTTTCTTTGGCCCATAATGCTGACTCAATAACAGCAACAGTTGTTTTCATTACAACCTAGTTATAACAAATATATTAGTTTGTTTAATGTAAAATATTTTTGAAATAAAATTTATTGCAATTTATTATTTATTATTGTAATTCAAATTAGAAATTATTTGATATATTAATATAGAAATTTAGAAAGTAAATATTGTATAAATTTTAAACTGCATTTAAATTTTTAAACACAGATATACAATCCATTGAAATATTGTTAACTAATACTTATTACTTTACCTTTAGTGGCTGACTCTTGCATATAAATATTACTCATGTTTATAAGTCTCCTATAATAAAAAAAATTCTTTGTCAATAATATTTCAATAATAGTTCTTTTCTCGAATAATCATCAGCAGGTAAGACGTACCTTTTACCTCCTTTTCACATTGGCTTTAATGGCCCAATCGATTTCACGTGCCACAGCCCCATTATTCCTGACTTTTGTAGGTTCCAACTTCCTTTTACACATTTATGCCTTAACGTAACAATTACACTCTATATTCAATTTATCTTTAACTTTTATAACTATTACCAAGTGCTCATTCTCCAGCTCTTTAATGATCCTTATATTTGCATGTCGATGCCTCACATCCTTCTTTGTTGATACATATGTTACCCATTTCTTGTTTCTTTATTCGACATAATATGCGTTTCCTCTTCTCACTGCTTTCATTCGAACCACTAAATTAATTTCATTCCTTTTTGTATGCCTAGGCCATCTCCATTTTTTGAATTTTGATTTGACCATCAAAGATTTCTATCTTGTATGTTATATCGTTAGCCAACCTAGAATCCAATAGACGTATCATAACATATTCATATTGCTGCTTCAATTTTTTCTTGCTATAAAATATAATTCTTGACATCTCATGGCTCCATGCTGGTGATATTCCATGATTCCAATATTTTTCTACTGTTGCATGTGCCTGATTATTTTAACAGAATATTATCTTTTCACAACCAAGCTCTGCTATCACTAATAAAAGGTGGAAAAACAATGGCACATAACTTTCACTATTTAATTACAACTGAAGGTTATGTTAATACAAAGACTTACATTTTTTGGCGTGATGCAGGCATATCTGCATGGATACAATAATGCTTCCGGTATTTGTTTGCAATTTTGTCTCATTTTCCATGCACTCTCCTGTTCACTTGGAGAAAAATTAACAAGTCGCTCAATTTCTGTGTTTAATTTATGAAATTTTATAACTGCGTTGTAAAAGCGTACCTTTGCATATTTGTCGTCTGCCCGGTAAAGAAATGAATGCTGATTGTCTAATTAAACCCGCGGTTTCAGCTGAATTAATTAAAGAATGTAGAAAACTTTATGATTTTATTTATTAAAATAAATTAAAATATATTAGGTGCACGTAATCAGAGTTAGTCAACTATTTGAGAAACTATTCCAACATCATAGATGGCGCTGATCGCAGGCGGTAAAATTTGTATTCGAACTGGATACTAGAAATCAATTCGACAGTAGAAAATTAATAAATTGCCAAGTTTTTGTAATTAATTCATGAAAATTTATAGCTGCACAGCAAAGTTGGAATTATAGGCAACATTCTTATAGGATGTTTAATTTAATAATTAATACTTACATGAGCGATAGGTTTTGTATTTCCTGTAGTAAACAAGATTAGTAAATAAGATTACTATAGAAAAGTATTTTTCTTGTATAATATTCTTATTATTTTGGAATAAATATATACTTACATAAGAAAGCGTAAAAAATAAATTTTTTTATTAAGAAATTTTATTTACAATTGTTTATTTACAATGTTTTCATAGATGAAAAATGAACACAAAATAAACATCGATTGAAAAAACTACCAAAATTATGGATGGGAATCGAACCTCGATTAGATAGAGCTAATTCGACAGAGCCCACGACTCTACTTGCGAAGTGGTAGAAATAAATTTTTAATTAAGGAAGTAATAAAACTTTAATCGTAAATATCTTAAAAATTATTGAGTAGTTGCCGCTATAATGATATATTTTCTTAATCTGCATGACGATATCTACAAACCTGCAAAGTTTCAACCAAATCGGTGACCCGAAGGACTTGCACTCTCCTTGTGAGTGTCGTCGAACCAATGTGAGTAAAACGTATTATTGTTATTCTATGCTGTTGTTTTCCCCTCATATACATTTACCTTGTCGTGGCGTTGGGGCTTAATCGTGCAATCGCTAAAAGTTGCAATTTCCAGCCTTACCTTTGATCAATCATTACAGTTGGCACCATTGACTTTATTACACACGCAGCTATACAGTCATTTCCATTCAAGCACATTTTATTTTATTCTTTATTATCTCCAATATTTATTTGTTTCTATTATTTACGTTATATTTACACCTAATTTTACTGTTAAATAAATATTATAGACATTACAGGTGTAGCTGCTCAGACAAATGGAATGAATTTTCGTATTTACTTCGGCCACCTGTACAGGTGGAACAATTGCATAGTTTTGCATAGTTTTGTTCTTCATGTTTGTGCTGATCTGCCTGTTCAGATACACCTGTCAAGTCGACTGGAACGTATGTAACTATCGTGTATTCAGTTTCTGGGGACTCTACAGCTGTCTTACCACATCCGTGTCACTCACGACATTACCGACAAAGTATTGACACTGATCTTGATGTATGATCGGAACTGCAACAAGTTCGTATTATAGCAAAGCAGTTTATACGACAAATTCGATGCATTTAGAGGTGTTACATGACTGTTTAGTCAGATTTGTATTTATTTATATAGATAAATACTATATAGATAAATGTATATACACTATTTACTCACTCCAACCCCAACCTTTTTTACATCATCCTCTCTTAACCTTAGATCTCTAGACAACCCCACTTACTTCCTAATTGGCATATAAATATTACCAATCATCCCAAAATTTCCATTCTTGTGCTAGTAGTCGGTTTGGAGTGTCACTGTAAAAGATCTGGTACATATTTGGCCACGTTATTCCTCTTATAGTTCGAATGTAAGTTTGTAACAAAAAGAAAGACTTACTTGAAATATAACAGAAATCTTTACCACAAGAAAATGCCATAAGCTTGGTGAAAAGTATGCTTCGGAGATGTCGATACGTTATCGATGTTGCTGGCAACTGGACACATAATTAATATAATTGCATCCTAGTTCAAAGCATACAGAATATACGTACTTATTTTAAAACTTGAATAAATTAATATTTCAATGATTTATGCCGAGCACACTTTAATTTGACAGACTATATATGTTTATATGACTGTATTCATATTCTTTGAGAACAAGAATTCGAAATAAAAATACCGAGGAAGATCGTTACTATTTATTGCATTTATTTTATTTCAAATATTTTTACAATTTTAAGAGCTCTCTGTGGGTATAAACATTTTTATGTAGGTTTTTCTGTACTTTCCAAAACGTGGTTACGTATTACTGGTTATGCTATTTCTTGTTGCATCCTACCATAAAAAGAAGTTATTATACAATCATGTTCTATTCGCAAAAGATTCATGAAAAATTTTTAAAATTCGTATTGTGCTCTCTTTTCCTGTGTGGTTTGTCGTTAATAAAATTTCCTCCATTCCTAACGATGATATGCTATAAACATTACTTTTGGTTTTAATTTTATAATAATGTAACAGATCCTGCTCAAAGGGATTCATATTCAAAGTCGATTTTCTTGACAATGTAGCTTCGAATGAAAAAATTTCATTCTTTATTTTCGATTTAGTTTTTCATGTAGAATCTCACCCTATGCTCAGTTGTATCACTGATGCTGATGTATTGATGGTCTATCCATTCAAGACATAGTTAAGTGCACGTGCACTCGGTGAATACTCAAAGTCGATTTTCTCGAAAACGAAGCTTCGAATAAAAAAATTGTATTCTTCTTCTTTTATTCGTTTTTGTACGTAGAATTACTCCTTTTTCGGTTGTAGTGCCATTGCTGGGACACACTGTATTTGATCGGTCTCATTTTCACATACTTTTCACAACTTTCCTATTGTTTTTCGGGACAGTGATAAAGGAATATTTTGTTCCTTTGAAGATGCTCTAAAAGTCCCGAAGGAACTTTTCATTTCCAGGCGATACCAAAAATGACCCTTTTTTAACGTCCCCCTTTTTGCAAGATTACTAAAGTAAATTTTTAATCAAATTTGTGTCAATAATCTGCAAAATATTCGAGAATAGTATTGATTGTATCGCTGGGCACTTTGTATAATATTTCCTGAACTATATTTCCTAAAATGACAATATGGCATAACATCTCAGTACCCACTGCACGAACTTTCACATAGTCGAATAGTGTCAACGCAATCAGAGCATAGAACAGCCGAATGGTTAGTGACAGAATGATGAACGGTTTTCAAAGAATGCATCAGTTCGATTCGAAACCTGATCGGTAATACATTATCTCTTAGTCTAGGATCAGTAACATTCAACCATTGCAATATGTTTCAACTTTTTCGTTTATATTTTCTTATCACTTTTCTTGTTACTATAAGTGCCATGAGAAAGGAACTTTTCCCAGGTAATCCACTGAATTTCTCTTTCGATACGAACCATTTATTTGAAACGTATAACCATACGTGATGGGACATTGAAACGTCCCAAATTACTTGATGTTAATTAAAGAACAAATTATAAAGAATCGTATTTACAATATTATTCTAATTATTAAAATGATAGTATTATAATCTTAGTACATTTATTATATGCTTCACTTAATAATTTTATTCTCTTAGAACGTAGATGTACTTTTTAGCATTCGAGTTTTATGTAATTAATTATTAATAAGCTAATATCAAATATTCGAAATTTAAATTACTTAAGTTATACTTAAATTATTACTTAAATTAATTATATTTTTATTTATAAATATTACTTATTATTTAAAAATTACTTTATAATTGTGTATGAACTTTTCATAAAGTATTGACATCATTTGAGAGATATCTACATTTTATATTTTTCATTAACTATTTCGTTGAAATAAATTGGACTCTTAAAATATATTTATATTTTTTGGAACAGCTTAGTTATAAAAAGAAAAATTAAATTAGGTAAAAGTTTATTGTATTTATGAAATTGTTTAGACTCTGAATAAATTCTAAATAAAAGTTCGCCTTATAAAGGTATTCATATAAAAATAATACAATTTCCAGTTGTTTTATCATTCAGATAATTCGTTTGAAAATATACATATATGATAATATTAAATATTTTGATTACTACTTTAGCATAATTCAGTATTATGATTTTTTAAGTAAATCGTGATGAATAAATAAACTATTATTTAAGAATAAAATTAGAAATAAGAATTTTATAAAGAAGGACAAAACATAGTAAAAATTAAGATGTTTCGAATTAAAAATTGTTGCTCCATCTTGATAAACAAAAACAATTCATTTAAACTTTCGAAATTTCTAATTTGATAAATTTTATTGAAAGGAAATTATAAATTTGCAGATATAATTGAGAGATTAAGAAGAAAGTCAACTGATGACGACTTTGGGGGAATTGCGATAAAGAAACAGCTATTTCAGTAAGTATTGAAATATTTAATGAAATATCCACTGTAAAAAGAAAGATTTAAATAAATTCATACGAATTAAGAAAAGTTCAAAGTTTTTAAAAAGCTTGCTCGTGTTACCTCGTCAAATTATTTATATTTATTACGTTTGCAATTACAAACAAGGAATCAGGAAATAAATTTTTGACCACAAAATAACAATAAGTAAATTTTTAAATTTTTTATTTTGTATAAAGCTTATTTTACTTCAGGTTTAATATTATGTTTCTGCACAAATTAACATGATTAGTATTATAAATATTAAAAAATTTGTTTAATAACGTATAATACAGTATAGAGTTAATATATAAAATAAGCATTAAAATATTTCCAGAGATATTTTTACGGAACATCAGAAGGGGGATAAATTACAGTTTGGATATGTCTGCGAAAATCCAGTTCAGTGGGAACAAAGATTCGAAGAAAAGGATCTAATGAATAACCGCCATCGTGGAAAGGTATTATAAAACCATTAAATTTAGGCTACCGGCCTCAAAGGTAGTTATTAATTCAGTTATCACTATATATATTATTATGTAATATTAATATAAATAAAATAAGTATAATATACAATTATAATATTGATACTATAGACAGGGCCGAAGCGAGGCAAGTTCAGCACGTTCATCAGTCATTTTGTAAGACACCCTGTATAGTAGATTGAATATTCGGGTGTGTGTAGAAAATACAATCGCATAATCCATTAATCGATTATGGATTAATTGGATATGGTACAGCTTGCCGTACACTGACACGAGTGCAAGATTTTTTCTCTCATTTTGCATTCAAATATTTCGTTGCAGCGTGTTCTAAACGTTGACATTAAACGTTGACATCAAAGGTTGATACGACTGCAACACTGGTGTGGAAGATATTAGGTGTTAAGGAAATCACTCAATTAGAAAACACCGATTTTGATTAACTTTACTATTACCATACTATTACCGATACCACATCAGATTTAACTGTATATTCTGGCTCCGCAAAATTTTTGAACCTGGCCCCGCAAAAGGTCACGCCGGCCCTGACTATAGATATGTATTACATATTAATATAATTAATACAAACTGTATTAACATAATATAATATTGTACGTTAATAATATTATCATTATATACATTGTATATGTTTATTGCTGCTTGTAAATAATAACTATTAATAATTATTAAAGTTCATTATCGAATAATTAATATTTGTACAGGTTAAATGGGGAAATATAGATGGCAGCTATGGTGAACACTACTGGGACATAAATCACAGATGATCTTTTTAAATACATAGCTACAGGTATCAGGTAATCACCGCTACAGTTTTATAAACTCATTATATAAATTTGAATTGAAACAGTAACTCGTGTATATTCCTTCCATACAATAAACATTATTTTCTTATCTATGTTTAACTAATTAATTTAAAACGTTACAGATGAAGTTTGTATTTATGTCAAATAAGCTTTAATATTTTTAAATTTAATTTTGAAATTCGTTCAGAATAATCAAAACTTATTATGAGATACTACTAATTTTTAATATAAAATAAATATTAATTATATTAATTTTACTTTGAATAAAGAATGAAAGTAGAATAGGAACAATGATGCACAATGAATGTTTGAATAATAATGAAAGAATGAAAAAATAAAGAAAAAATATCGAAAACGAGAAAATGATCTAAACAACTAAACTACATAGAATTTGTGTTGTGCGAGTGAAAAGTATATTCCATAGCGTGATAAAGATGCAAGTGATGATTAATAGTTCCGAATATTGGACGTGTGAAAGAAAAGCGTTTGAGTATTTGAGACTTGTATATTCTCATATTTATTTTTAACATATTCGTTTGTTAACAAAATGAAGTTGTTAATATAACCTTCTTTTACGAAATTTTGTTTTCTATAATTTGTTTTTGATTTTTAATTGCGCAATATGTACATATGTAACACAACATGTGCGTGAATTGTACGCAGAAAATGTGCGTAGCGATACAGTAGAGACACCTAGCGTCGACGAGCAGACTTCATTCTTTCTCGCAAGTGAAAACGAACGCTTTGGGGTATATGAAGGCGACTTCTGTCTGTTGAATTTATCGCTTCTCGGCTTGTATAAGCTAAGATCAAAGTGTAGTATCTGTTCTTATCAGCTTAATATCTGGTATACTCCTAATTTGGGAGTCAGAATATTAAACTGATTTTTGAGAAAAGGAGGCAATGTAGAGCTTGCTCTTACGCCACCGTGGGTTGACTCGGCATAGCAGTGCCGCTGAGATCAGCCCTAATTAGTGTTTCTAAATATAATATTTTAGTGACTTTCATGTTGTTTGTCAGTGTTCGTTATACATTCTTGTTTCGTAGATTCCTGACTACTGCGCATCTGCATGACACATATTTTGGGTGACGGGCATGCTTCCACTCAGGCCCTGTCATTCATATATTATAGATGACACTTTTCTTCATCTAGTTAAGTAGAATTTTACAAGTAATTTATACAAATTTCATTCGTAACACAATTCCTATTACTTCCTACAATCAGAGTAACTAGATCCATAGCTGTCAACGTTGGTATCGATAGAGTTTCTGTATTACGGCTATTTATATACTTTCCAATATAAACAAAAGCATTGAGCAAGTAGTGAGTTGTGGAATCACTGTGGCTTGCTTTTTATATAAACGCGAAAACTGCACCTTCCTCGAAACGCAGCCGTTTTAATCTACCGTGGTATAACTGTAGAGTGAATAATTATCTTTGTGATTATCTATGAATTTTTTAAAGATTTCAGATATAGGTGCCGATTTATCTCTACTTGCTTTCTTTCCATCCTTTGTCTCAGCAACGCTGAATCACAACCTTTTATACCTTTTTATACCCCACACTCCGTCCACATGCTCGCTTGTAATCCCCTTTCTTCTATGAGACTACCAAAATCACTACATTCAGGTTCGGTAACGTTATACGTTAACATAGGCGTAAGATATCCGTAAAATTTCTATACTCGAATAATACATTGCAAGCCTACAAATATGAGAGTAATACTGCATGAGCAAAACATGATTTTCACTTTTACTTTATATATATTGAACACATTTAATACGCGTATGAAATATAAGTATAGTTAAATAAAATTCGGAAATGAACATTTATCAGAAGAATCTGAAGTTAATGCTTTAGGGATAAGTCTACGTTGTTGCATTTATTTCTTGCGTCTGCCTCACTTTGTTTCGATTGTTTTGTTCGCTTCCTTTGTCACACGGTGTTATATAATAAAGCATGTTTACTCTTCTTCTGTGGTGACGTTACAAAGGGTTAGTTGAGATTCGGTCCTATGTTTTGCTCAGCGGACTTGTCTGCAACAATGCATAGTACTTTTGATATACAGGATGTACCACGAGTTATGTCTGAAATATCTTCGTTATTTCAAATAATAAATCAAAATGTTGCTTACAGAAGTTGTAGGAATACAGAAATTTAGTTTCAAGTAAAATAGTTCAAAGAAAGATATAACATGGTAACAATAATTTCTTTACAGGTGTGTACAAGACATCTATAGATCTATTTTGCTTTTGAATGACCAATTTTTGATACTTGATTTCAACAGAGTAATAAATTCTGAGAATTTGATTGTGATAAAAATAGGAGAAATTAAATCTTCTAACGTATCACACAAATATAATATTCTAACCTCAAAAAACTGGAAATATTTTTATTATTTTGGAACTTAATGAAGCATAACTTCTACGTGCGTACTTGTACTTACATATAGACTTTATAATTCGATCATTTGATCATTTCATTTTTTTAAACAAAGCGATAGATGACTTATGACTGATGTATGATAAATTTCATCAGCAATTCTTAGAAATACAACTTTTTAGAGAAAATAATTTATCTATTGATTTAAAAAAGGACATGTACTTATTTAGTTTAATCTTCAGGTTACATCAAAATATGTATTACAAAATGAAAAATGAATAAAATTAAAAATTATACACGAGATTGATAATTTATATTTATTTAAGTACGTATGAATGCTTCGTGTTACATAAGAACTGGGTACAATTTACGAATCACATTATAGCAAAGGTATAATTTTACGAATATCGCATTGTACTCGGTTTACTCGAATATTTTCCATTTTTCATACAATTTTTTTCCTTTTTTATTTTCATATTTTATTTTTATATTTTTAAAATTTTTTTACATATTTTATTTTTCATTTTTAATACGACAAAGAAAATGTGACGAAAATAGTTCGAAGGAGCAATCGAAAAGAGTAAATACAAAGTTTCAATTGGATACTATGTTTTTCGATCAAAATTGCTTTACTGAAAAATGATACGTTCTATTTTGAGAAATAAAACATCATTTGAGACAGGATTTGAATAAATAAGCGTTAGGTTCACATGTAGGACAACCTTTATTATTTAATACAGTACTAATTATAACATAATACTACGCATTATTACAATATTAGTATTATTATATTGGTTGTAATCCGAGTTTTTAATGGTGTTTTTTGCGGCGTGGGTGAGTGCGTGCCGTTGCGTGCATGCGTGTACGCGCGCGCACTTGTATGTACGTATCTATATATGATAGTTTCATACAAATAAACAAATAAATACATATATATGTATATATATTTATTTATTTATAATACCCTACACGTAGTGCATTACATGTACACGTATGTATGTGTATATATGTATACATATATGATATTTATTATACCCTTGTATTATTACGCGCTACATGAATTCATCTTATCTCTTATCTTATAAACTTAATCCGAATAGATATAGTGTATATAGATATATATATAGATATATATATTTATATATCATCAGGATGGTATAAATAATATTGTATTTCATAAAAGCACTTTTTGTTGCTTATAATATTATCGTTTTCTTTCTTTAATTATCGCATTGCTTTTTCCCCACATATTTCCCTAACGCTCTTCTTTCGCTTCGTTTCTTCTACTGTACGCGACTTCCATAAGGATTACATTCTTAAAGAGTGTTACGTCTTTCATTTCATTTTCGGCTTTCTTACTAGCTCCGGAAGGAAAACTTAAGACACATTACGAACTACAGATATCGAGAGTTAAACACTAGACATTGTTTCGCGTTGTATGATCGCTCTTAATAACGTTCGTGAATCTTCGAATCGGTCAAGATTCCTTCCCCCCACCCCGTCCCACCCCACCCGATGTCGGTGAGAAATTCCTTTCGTGCTTCGCTAGTTCTAGCCGTTCATTTCTTTTCGTTCGTTCGCTCGCGCGCGCACACGTCGCTACCGTGTTGCGCGCGAATCCAGCGCTATGCAAGTGTGGTACTTTGGAAGACTATCATATAACTCACAATGTTCCCCCAATCCGTGACCATTTGTTCTATTGCATCTTGGAAAACCAATAACCACATGCGTGACAGAAAGATCTATCATGCGTAACGTGCGACTCGAGAAACCAAGAAAATACAAAAGGATGCAGTAATATTGATATATACAGCAATACCCATATATTAATATATCGATATTAATTAAAATATCAATTCATCTATATATCAATATATAGCTATATTAATATATCAATATACATAGAAAGAGAGAAGGATGTATAGAGAGGACAAACGAAAAAGAGGTTAGAAAATGCAAAAGATAAGGTTAACGGGAAGAAAATGGCAGCACACAATAGAAGAAATGATCAAAGAGTAGAAGAAAATTGTTTGCTACGTATGACATCCTTCCAGGACACTACACCGGCATAGTATCGAGTACAAAGTGTCCTACAAGGTATGGCATATGCGGCAAATGAAAGGTAGGTATCAACACGGAATCGAAACAAGGAATACGAGCGTATTAATGCCCTTACCTAACTACTAGTTTAGTACTTGCTTGTTTGAATCAGTTTTAATCTGCAAATTGCTATTATTGCTCCAGTTCGAATGGTCCGGGAGAATACACGCGTTTCCAATAGTTCACAGTTCTTGATTTTTCTAGCAATTAATTGTACTGCCGTTAAAAAATATCTGATATTTGTCTTAAATGTTTTATAAACTTTAAACCAGAATGGTGTGTCACTTTGGAGTATTCATAGTTTATAGAAATTACGTTCGCATTTTATATCCTTTGGATAGATATTAAACACTTTTGTTCTCGGACACATCATACCTTATGAAACACATTTATGCTTTCATTCTACCCGCTTCAATAAATATCCCGTATGTGTACCCTCGCGATCATTTTCTTCGTTCTCCATTTATTTACTCTCTTT